GTGTGCACCACATAAAACAAATCCTGCAGTACACAGTGCATAATGAGAGAAAAAAAAACTGAGACCGTAATTTTCGATAAAAACAGTGACTTTGCAGTGTTTTTCCGTATTTTTTTTTTATAGTTGTATTTGTGATTTCTTGGTCTCATTTGATAGAATGGAAGATATATTACAGAAATAGAGATGATTTTGATTAGTTTTAGTAATGGAAATGGGTTGAAACTGAGCTCAAAATAGCAGATATGTTAAATTTTTGACGATGTTCGAGAGTAAACAAATGATCCCAGACATCTAATACACGCTAGCTGGTGGGTCTAAGATAGGTTCACAAATGTGGTGATATTATTTATACAGTTATTACAGTATTGCATAACAGTAAATCTTCTATTTTTTGGTTTGAATAAAAATTCATTATGTGAATAAAAAATCAATCGGAATTCATTTGTAAAGCCTGAAAACGTAACTGATGAACAGAGGAAATGTTAGTTTAGTTCCAGGAATGCCTGCATTGTTTATTCTGGACCCAATTTTGAAATTAGAATATTTTGAACTTTCCATTAAATTGGCCAAATTACCAATTTCCTATCACTTTAAGTATTTTGTAGTTGAAACAGTTGACGTGGCGATTTCTTGTGCTCAATCGATAGAATAGAAGTAATACTAGTGAAATAGCTAAGAATTTGGTTGACTGGAGTAATATAATTGGCGTAAAATGGGAGTCAAAGTTGGCAAAATCGCCGATGCGTAAATATCACTGACACATCAAAATTTGCGAGAGCATAATTTCGTCAATTTTCCATAAAATTTCGTACTTTTTGTTTTAACACTTTCAGAAAAAGATTCTCTACCATTTCATAAGAAAAAATAAAAAAATTATTTTTTGAAAATTCTTGGACGCTGGTGCGCACTTTGAAATTTGGCCTTTGGTCCGTGCCGTAGATCTATGGCTTTACGTTCAGGGTCCAAACCGTAGATCTACGCCATGAGCTTAGCTCGTTCTGATAAGCTGTGAGTGGTAAATTTGGGCCTAGATATGAGAGAATACATCTATGTCGTATGTTTGCACCACATAAAACAAATCCTGCAGCACACCGTGTATAATGAGAGAAAAAACTGAGGCCGTAATTTTCAATTAAAACAGCGACTTTGCAGTGTTTTTTCGTATGTTTTTTATAGTTGTATTTGCGATTTCTTGATCTCATTTGATAGAATGGAAGATATATTACAAAAGTAGAGATGATTTTGATTGGTTTTAGTACTGGAAATGGCTTGAAACTGAGCTCAAAGTAGCAGTACGTAATGTTAAATTTTTGCCGATGTTCAAGAGTAAACAAACGACCTCACACATCTAATACACGCCAGCTGGTGGGTCTAATATACATTCACAAATGTGGTGGTGATATTTATACAATTATTACAATATTGCATAACAGTAAATCATCTATTTTTTTGGTTTGAATATAAATTCATTATGTGAATAAAAAATCAAAATGGAATTCATTTGTAAAGCCTGAAAACATAACTAATGAGCAGAGGAAATGTTAGTTTAGTGCCAGGAATGCCTGCATTGTTTATTCTGGACCCTGTTTTGAAATTGGAATATTTTGAACTTTGTGTTAAATTGGCCAAATTACCAATTTCCGATCACTTTATTTTGTAGTTGAAATAGTTGACTTGGCGATTTCTTGTGCTCAGTCGATAGAATAGAAGGCATACTAGTGAAATAGCTAAGAATTTGGTTGACTGGAATAATGTAATTGGCCTGAAATGGGAGTCAAAGTCGGCAAAATCGCCGATTCGTAAATATCGCTGACACATCAAAATTTGTGAGAGCATAATTTCGTCAATTTTCCATCAAATTTCGTACTTTTTGTTTTATTACATTCAGAAAAAGATTCTCTACCATTTCATAAGAAAAAATAATTTTTTTTTTTAAATTCTTGGGCACTGGTGCACCCTTTGAAATTTGGTCTCTGGATCCTGAAAGGGTTAAAGCCAGGATCCGTGGTGTAGTACTGCGTTATGAGTTTAGCTCACTCTGATAAGCTGTGAGTGGTAAATTTTGGCCCAGATACGAGAGAATGGGTCTATGTGGTAAGTGTGCACCATGTAAAAAATATCCTTTAGGATGCAGTGCATAATGAAAAAACTGCTACCATATTTTTTTTTTTTGTAGTGTATTTTTGTATGGTTTTTATGGTTGTGTTCACAGTTTCTTCATCTCATTTGATAGAATGGAAGATTTATTACAGAAATAGAGATGATTTTGATTGTTTTTTTGAGGGAAAATAGCTTGAGATTGAGCTCAAAATAGTGGAAATGTTCGATTTTTGGCAATGTTCAAGAGTAAACAAATTACATCACGCGTCCAGTACACGTCAACTGGTGGGTCTAATATGTGTTCACAAATGCTTTGCTATTATTTATACAATTATTGCAATATTACATTACAGTAAATCTTTTGGTGTGAATAAAAATTGTGTGAATATAAAATCAAAAGTAAATTCATGTGTAAAACTTGGAAACATAACTAATGAACAAACGGAATGTCTGCATTGTTTATTCTGGACCCTATTTTGAAATTGGAATATATTGAAAGTTGTGTGAAATTGGCAAAATTACCAATTTCTGATCACTATTGGGTAGTTGAAATAGTTGATTGGGCAGTTTCTTGTGCTCAGTCGATAAAATAGAAGGGTTACTAGTGAAATTGCTAGAATTTGATCGACTGGAGCAAAGTAATTGGTCTAAAATAGGTGTCAAAATGGGTAAAAATGCTGATGTGTAAATATCACTGACACAACAAAATTTGTGGTAGTAATTTCGTCAATTTTCCCTCATATGTTGTACTTTTTGTTTTATTACCTTCAGAAAAAGATTCTCTACCAAGAAAAAAATTAAATTTTTTTTTTCTAAATTCTTGGACCCTGTGGACAAGTTTCAGATCAGGGGTCTGGATCCTGAATGGGTTAAGAAAAACAGTGTGATTAAAAGTAAACTCATTGTAATGTGAAGACATAATAGTAAAGCTTGGGTAACATGAGTGGATACATGAAGCTTTTGCCATAAGTGTGAAGCATTACCCTGTAGAAAAAATCTTACCATTAAGGCCACTTCTGGCAATGGACAATGCTCCTGCTCACCCTCCAGGCTTGGAGGAAAATTTGGTGGATGAATACAGCTTCATTAAAGTGAAGGTCTTCCCCCCTAACACCACTCCTTTTCCAACCCATGGACCAACAGGTAATTTCCAGTTTTAAGTAACTTTACACAAAAGTGCTGTTTAAAGGGTACTTGGAAGTGACCTCTGAAATTGAGCTTACCCTTAGTAAATTTTAGAAAAACCATTTTAATATCCTTCACTGTTCAAGAATAATAGACAAAGCCTGGGGGAAAGTTTCTTTCAGGACAATGAACTATGCCTAGAAGAAATTGTGGCCAGACTGTGTGTCAGTCACAGATTTTAAAGGCTTTGAGGCAGAGCCTGTAGTGAAGGATATTGTTTCTCTGGGCCAGTCCATGGATTTGGAAATAGATGATGGAGATGTAGAGGAGTTGGTGGAGGATCACAAGAATGAGCTCATTACAGAACTTATAGACCTGCACAAGGAGCAGCAAGAAGTTGTTGAAGAAATTTTTTTAGAGGAAGAGGGATACAGTAAGGCAACATTTCCACTGCAGAAATTAAGGAACTGTGTTACCATTGGGCTCAAACACAAAGCCTGGTGGAAAAATAGCATCCTAACATTACTGTTGTGAATAGGAGCATCAACCTATTCAATAAGTGTTGCTGACCACTTTAGAAAATTTTTGAAAAGTCGTCAAAAGCAGACAACATTGGACAGCTTCTTTAGCAAAGAAAAAATAAAATGCTAGTGAATCCCCATCATCTTCAAGTGCTAATGCACAGAGAAAGAAAAGAAAAAAACACTAGACAGGCAGTTACCTGATATTTTTATGGAAGGTGACACCCATTCCAAACTATCTCTCCACCTTCCTCTTAGGCCATCAACATTCCTCAGTAAAGGTAAAGTGCAGTTAAATTTTCATTTATCTCACGTACAACAGGACCCTCATATACGTGGGGGATATGTTCCAAGGACCTGAAGTGGATAACAAAACCATGGATAGTAGCAAACCCTATATATAAGTCCTATACATACCTGTTATGAAGATTAATTGATAAATTATAGACAATAAGTAGAGAATTATCATTATTTCACTGATGGGAAGCACTTCATGACTTCTCTTAGGTTTTGAAGAACTGCCAGCTTCTTTACTTTTTTGCTTCGGGGGCCAATTTTACGGAAAATTAAGAGGTATTATTGAGCCACAGTAAACTGTGGATAACTGAAACTGCGGATACTGAATCAGTGGATACGGAAGTTGTACTGTATTTATTGTTTTTATAGTTTTTGTGTATGATTTTTATGCATGCAAATATTATTTTACAGGTTTAAATAAACAGTATTTTACTTAAGATATTTGATAACTGGTATATTTTTGGGGTCTGGAACAGATTAATCCAACTTACATTATTTCTTACGGGTTGTACAAATATTTATTTGTACAACTCACAATTCGAACAGCCTCCTGGAATGGATTAAGTTTGAATATCATGGTACCATTGTATAAAGAAATTGAAATGTTTATAAGACATGTTTCACTGTTGTTCATATGCTTTACACAGACTGTAGTACTTTAAATTCCTAGTATTAAAAGTAGTATTCTTGGTAATAGGAAAAGTTTTGGAAATATGTCTATAAACATTTTCATATCTGGTCTTTGTTTCAGTGGGGCTAATTGTAGTACACAATTTATTGAGAAATTTGTTCCAGTTTGAAGAAATGTTGCATAGGGCCGTAGAAGCTGAATCCTCCATCCCTGCAGGAGTAGGTTAACAAACCTCAGGCTTTGAACACTTAATGTTATTGATTATAAAACATGAAAGACTTATTGATAAGTGTATTGTACTGATTTAATTAACTTGTTTACAGCAGGGTGGATCTGGCAACTCTCCGCATGTTCGTGCTCTCATGCAGCACATCCAGATGGCAGTGCAAGCGGGCTACCTCAACCCCCAGATCCTGAACCAACCCCTGGCCCCTACCACACTTGTGCTCCTTAATAATATGCTCTCACACATTAATGTGCTACAAAAGTTCTCTCAGCAACAAGCCATCTGGCAAGCTCAGGCTCACCTCAACAAAAATTCTTCACAAACTATTCTTCAGCTCAACATTAATATTACTAAAACTAAGCAACAAATCCAAAACCTACAGGTATCATGCACTTTTACAAACATAATTGGTAATTGGTTAAGTTTATATATGAAATTCCTATACTGTATTACATAATGTTAAATGTTGTTTATATAAATTGTTATGTTTTGTTGTGATATGGCACTTGAATTTTTTAAGAGTTCAGTAAACCCTCTAAATAGAAAGCTGTTACCATCTGTAATGGCTAAAAAGTATGTTTAACAAGAAATGCAGATGATTTCTTTTTCTCCATGCAGAATCAGATAGCTGCTCAGCAGGCCTTGTATGTGAAACAGCAACAGCAGCATCACCACCCACAACTTCATTCTCACCTGCCAGGTGGTCCCCCTGGTACTCAAAATGACTTTTTCAACAAGCCCAGTCTTCCAGATCAGCTGTATAGTAGCTTCACTCAAATGCCAGTCAGTGAAAACCCTCCAGCAATAAACATTGGGGTGAGTTAGATTGGAGTAGAAATATACAAATGAGAATATCCGATCTTAAGCACTCTTGAAATGAGAATGTATATATTTTTTTTCAACAGACCGGCCATATCGTACTGGGGCAGGGTGGCCCAAAAACAAAAACGAAAGTTTCTCTTTTAAAATTAAGTAATTTATGTAGGAGAAGGGGTTACTAGCTCCTTGCTCCTGGCATTTTAGTCGCCTCTTGCAACACGCATGGCTTACGGAGGAAGAATTCTGTTCCACTTCCCCATGGAGATAAGAGGAAATAAACAAGAATAAGAACTAGAAAGAAAATAGAAGAAAACCCAGAGGGGTGTGTATATACATGCTTGTACATGCATGTGTAGTGTGACCTAAGTGTAAGTAGAAGTAGCAAAACGTACCTAAAATCTTGCATGTTTATGAGACAGAAAAAAGACACCAACAATCCTAAAATCATGTAAAACAATTACAGGCTTGCGTTTTACACTCATTTGGCAGGACGGTAGTACCTCCTGAGTGGTTGCTGTCTACCAACCTACTACCTATGAGAATGTATATATTTATACATATATTACTATATAAAACGAAAGCCTGTAATTGTTTTACATGATGGTAGGATTGCTGGTGTCTTTTGTCTGTCACATAAATATGCAAGATTACAGGTACGTCTCGCTACTTCTACTTACACTTAGGTCACACAACACATACATGTACATGTTTATTTATACACACTCATCTGAGTTTTCTTTGATTTTATCTTAATAGTTCTTGGTCTTATTACTTTCCTTTTATATCCATGGGGAAGTGGAATCAGAATCTTTCCTCCGTAAGCCACGCGTGTTGTAAAAGTCAACTAAAATGCCGGGAACAATGGGCTAGTAACCCCCTTTCCTGTAAAAATTACTAAAAAGAATAAGACGGAAATTGTCAAAGTGGGAAGTCTGAATGTGCGTGGATGTTGTGCGAATGATAAGAAAGAGATGATTGTGGATGTTATGAATGAGAAGAAGCTGGATATCCTGGCTTTAAGTGAAACAAAGATGAAGGGGGTGGGTGAGTTTCAGTGGAGAGGAATTCATGGGATTAGGTCAGGGGTTTCCAGTAGAGTTAGAGCTAAAGGAGGAGTAGCAAAAATGTTGAAGGATAAGCTATGGCAGGAAAAGAGGGACTATAAATGTATTAATTCAAGGATTATGTAGAATAAAATAAAGGTTGGATGTGAGAAATGGGTTATTGTAAGCGTTTATGCACCTGGGAAAGAGAGAAGTATAGAGGAGAGAGAGAGATTTTGGGAAATGTTGAGTAATTGTATGGGGAGTTTTGAACCAAGTGTGAGAGTGCTTGTGGTTGGGGATTTTAATGCTAAAGTGGGAACAAATGTTGTGGAGGGAGTAGTAGGTAAATTTGGGGTGCCAGGGGTAAAGTAAAATAGGGGAGCCTTTAATTGAGTATGTGTAGAAAGAAGTTTGGTAATAAGTAATACATATTTTATGAAGAAGAGGATAAATAAATATACAAGGTATGATGTAGCACGTTGAAAGTAGTTTGTTAGATTATGTATTGTTGGATAAAATGTTGATGGGTAGGCTCCAAGATGTACACGTTTATAGAGGGGCATCTGATATATCGGATCATTATCTAGTAGCTACAGTTAGAGTAAGAGGTAGATGCGATAAGAAGAAAATGGCAACAACAAGTAAGAGGGAGGTGAAAGTGCATAAACTAAGGGAGGAGAAAGTTCGGGTGAAATAAAAGCAACTATTGGCAGAAAGGTGGACTGGTGCAGGTATGAGTAGTGGGGGGTTGAAGAGGGTTGGAATAGTTTTGGAAATGCAGTATTAGAATGTGGGGCAGAAGTTTGTGGTCATAGGAGGGTGGGTGCAGGAGGAAAGAGGAGTGATTGGTGGAATGATGAAGTAAAGGGTGTGATAAAAGAGAAAAAGGTAGCTTGCGAGAGGTATTTACAAAGCAGAAGTGTTATAAGAAGAGTAGAGTATATGGAGAGTAAAAGAAGGTGAAGAGAGTGGTGATAGAGTGCAAAAGGAGAGCGGATGATAGAGTGGGAGAGGTACTGTCAAGGAATTTTAATGAAAATAAGAAAAAATTTTGGAGTGAGTTAAAGAAGTTAAGAAAGCCTAGGGAACAAATGGATTTATCAGTTAAAAACAGAGAAGGGGAGTTAGTAGATGGGGAGATGGAGGTTTTGGGTAGATGGCGAGAATATTTTAAGGAACTTTAAATGTTGACGAAGTAAGGGAGGCGGTAATTTCATGCACTGGCCAGGGAGGTATATCATGTTTTAGGAGTGAAGAAGACCAGGATGTGAGTGTGGGGGAGGTGCATGAGGCATACGTAGAATGAAAGGGGGTAAAGCAGCTGGAACTGGCGGGATCATGACAGAAATGTTAAAAGCAGGAGGGGATATAGTGTTGGAGTGGTTGGTATTTTTGTTTAATAAATGGTGGATGAATTTGGTAGGGTGTGCAAAGGAAGAAAATTAAAAGTGAATACAGGAATGAGTAAGGTTATGAGGATAACAAAAAGGTTAGGTGATGAAAGATTGGATATCAGATTGGAGAGAGAGAGTATGGAGGAGGTGAATGTATTCAGATATTTGGGAGTGGACATGTCAGCGGATGGGTCTATGAAAAATGAGGTGAATCATAGAATTGATGCGGGGAAAAGGGTGAGCGGTGCACTTAGGAGTCTGTGGAGACAAAGAACTTTGTCCTTGGAGGCAAAGAGGGGAATGTATGAGAGTATAGTTTTACGAACGCTCTTATATGGGTGTGAAGCATGGGTGATGAATGTTGCAGCGAGGAGAAGGCTGGAGGCAGTGGAGATGTCATGTCTGAGGGCAATGTGTTGTGTGAATATAATGCAGAGAATTCGTAGTTTGGAAGTTAGAAGGAGGCGCGGGATTACCAAAACTGTTGTCCAGAGGGCTGAGGAATGGTTGTTGAGGTGGTTCGGACATGTAGAATGGAGCGAAACACAATGACTTGAAGAGTGTATGTCTGTAGTGGAAGGAAGGCGGGGTATGGATCGGCCTAGGAAAGGTTGGAGGGAAGGGGTAAAGGAGGTTTTGTGTGCTAGGGGCTTGGACTTCCAGCGGGCATGCGTGAGCGTGTTTGATAGGAGTGAATGGAGACAAATGGTTTTCAATACTTGACGTGCTGTTGGAGTGTGAGCAAAGTAACATTTATGAAGGGATTCAGGGTAACCGGCAGGCCGGACTTGAGTCCTGGAGATGGGAAGTACAGTGCCTGCACTCTGAAGGAGGGGTGTTAATGTTGCAGTTTAAAAACTGTAGTGTAAAGCACCCTTCTGGCAAGACAGTGATGGAGTGAATGATGGTGAAAGTTTTTCTTTTTTGGGCCACCCTGCCTTGGTGGGAATCAGCCAGTGTGTTAATAATAATAATAAAATGTATGAAAGAGGGGAAGGTACCTAGGGATTGGCGGAGAGCGTGTATAGTCCCTTTATATAAAGGGAAGGGGGACAAAAGATATTGTAAAAATTATAGAGGAATAAGTTTACTGAGTATACCAGGAAAAGTGAACGGTAGGGTTATTATTGAAAAAATTAGAGGTAAGACAGAATGTAGAATTGCAGATAAGCAAGGAGGTTTTAGAGTGGGTAGGGGATATGTAGATTAAGTGTTTACATTGAAGCATATATTTTTTTTTTTCAACAAGTCGACTGTCTCCCACCGAGGCAGGGTGACCCATAAAGAAAGAAAATCCCCAAAAAGAAAATACTTTCATCATCATTCAACACTTTCACCTCACTCACACATAATCACTGTTTTTGCAGAAGTGCTCAGAACACAACAGTTTAAAAGCATATACGTATAAAGATACACAACATATCCCTCCAAACTGCTAATATCCCAAAACCCCTCCTTTAGAGTGCAGGCATTGTACTTCCCATTTCCAGGACTCAAGTCCGACTATATGAAAATAACCGGTTTCCCTGAATTTTTTTTTTTTTTTTTTTTTTTTTTTTTTTTTCAACAAGTCGGCCGTCTCCCACCGAGGCAGGGTGACCCAAAAAAGAAAGAAAATCCCCAAAAAGAAAATACTTTCATCATCATTCAACACTTTCACCACACTCGCACATTATCACTGTTTTTGCAGAGGTGCTCAGAATACAACAGTCTAGAAGCATAAACATATAAAGATACACAACATATCCTCCAAACTGCCAATATCCAAACCCCTCCTTTAAAGTGCAGGCATTGTACTTCCCATTTCCAGGACTCAAGTCCGACTATATGAAAATAACCGGTTTCCCTGAATCCCTTCACTAAATATTACCCTGCTCACACTCCAACAGATCGTCAGGTCCCAAGTACCATTCGTCTCCATTCACTCCTATCTAACACGCTCACGCACGCTTGCTGGAAGTCCAAGCCCCTTACCCACAAAACCTCCTTACCCCCTCTCTCCAACCCTTTCGAGGACGACCCCTACCCCGCCTTCCTTCCCCTATAGATTTATATGCTTTCCATGTCATTCTACTGTGATCCATTCTCTCTAAATGACCAAACCACCTCAACAACCCCTCTTCTGCCCTCTGACTAATACTTTTATTAACTCCACACCTTCTCCTAATTTCCACACTCCGAATTTTCTGCATAATATTTACACCACACATTGCCCTTAAACAGACATCTCCGCTGCCTCCAACCGTCTCCTCGCTGCTGCATTTACCACCCAAGCTTCACACCCTATAAGAGTGTTGGTACTACTATACTTTCATACATTCCCTTCTTTGCCTCCATAGATAACGTTTTTTGCCTCCACATATACCTCAACGCACCACTCACCTTTTTTCCCTCATCAATTCTATGATTAACCTCATCCTTCATAAATCCATCTGCCGACACATCAACTCCCAAGTATCTGAAAACATTCACTTCTTCCATACTCCTCCTCCCCAATTTGATATCCAATTTTTCTTTATCTAATCATTTGACACCCTCATCACCTTACTCTTTTCTA